TCTGACTAGAGGCAGCCTTTGTTAGGCTCGATTGCGACAGTTGTGAGGAAGGCTTGCATGCGCAGAAAAGCAACCAACGGGGTGCTTCCTCCGAGACGCTCTCCCATTTCTATACATCAAACGCACAGCATCATGGACGTAGAATAGAGTACTGCCGACGTACCAGAAGCAGCTTTATGCTGTCAGATTGCACTGGAGTCTGAGTCAGCTCTACTTCATGTAAAAAGCTTCGCATTAAGTGTATTGGTGCAAGTAGCGGGATTTGTCAGCCAGTCCAGACGTGCTGCTCACCAGGGCACTTCCGAGTCGCTCTGTGTGGCACACATGCATATTGCCCCAACCAAGTACGTGGCAGCGATTCCTATTGAACCTTCGAATAGTGTTTATATGCCAGCAGCTAATTTATAATTCAGATGCTATACGCACGCAACGGCAGACATAGTAGGATTCAATTGAAACAACGTCGAATGGACTAGCGACTATCTGTTAGAGTCATGTTGCAGACTACACTACACTCTCTCAGAGCCGGCTTCGCTGTCGGCGAGGTTTTCAGCTAAGCGTGCAATGTGCTTCAGAAGTGGGAAGGATCACACTGGCTCGACATTCGATACTCACCGAGCACACGCGTATTTCTGGGGCGTGGATGATGACCCGATACGGCCCGTTTGCAGTCCGACTGTGCAAGTGTACAATGGGATACAAACGTTCGTCCATGAAAAGTCGTAAAACCAGGAACTACTCAGAATCCCCGAAGCGTCCGTGCTGGACTTTGCTGAAATAGCGGTACGTACAGCAATAACTACCCACCTATTCCTAATGTGGCACTGGAGGAAGTACTCCGACTTCAACGGTTCGCCAATAGCTCACTCCACTAGATAGTAGCGATCGATATAGTCGCGGGTTTAATCCTCATGCAACCCACTTAACGGCAAAGAGAGAGAGAGAAACGTTCTCATACTGTACGTGTGATAAGCACACTCGTATCGATCATGAACATTGGCAGTGGTGTGTGTCCTGCGCAACAAAGATTGCTCATTTCTACATTACGTTGTTTTCTCCATATATATATATATATATGTATGTATGTATATATATACTAATAGT